ATCATGTTCTTGTTTTGTATGATTTTGCCGTACATTCAACGGTCAATTTATACTGGTTATGTACAGCTTGATGGGAACATTCGCTTTAGGATCGTGTAATGGAATTAAGATGATCAAATATTAAATTTTCATTTCGTGCCGACCACTGAGTCCGATTCTGACGTACTGTTTGCATTTCATACGTAATGGTAATTAAGTGTTGTATAGATTTCATAATTTGGATGACAAAGAGATACTATATCTATTTTTGATCCGCTTTATTATCTGTTCTTTATTGTCGTATTTGAATTTTTTGTTCATAAAACATACATACGTGGTGGATTTTATTGTGCAATCGACTAAGGACCCATTTTTCAATACTCGGATAAATTTTAACTGTCGAATAACTTTGAATATTTGACAATTCTTCCATACTAAAAACTGTCAAATGTCAATTTTATTCTACAGTTAAGAACTAACTGATGATTAAAAAATCGGCCCTAGGTCAATTAAGTACGATACAGGTATGTAAGAATCGTAGTAATTGGCGTTCCTTAGTCTCTGCCTACGCCCATGGGAGACAGGCGTGAAGTTATGTATGTATGTCAATTAAGTGGTTCTTTAGACAGAGGTTAAACTTTAGTTCCAGAATCACCCATTCCCCATCAATTCTCCCTCAAACAAAAATGTAACTTCAACTACAAAACACATACTCAAAACTGTCCCAACAGAAATAAAACTATAAACAAAACGATAAATTGAATTACACAAAAGTTTTCACTTACAATTCAATATGAAACTAGATAAATAATATGAAATTGTTACAATACATCCATTGGGATCTGAATTATGGTACATTAAAGCCAACGTATGCTATAAATGGTGCTCCAAGTTGTTTTACTATTGCTAAAGTTACTCACAATGCTCCTATAACGTTTGAATCGCATTGTTAGAGAAGTATACACGGTTGCACGTAAAGATGCACAAAACCTGTTTATTATGGTCCCGCTTTATATGACCATACCGTACGTACAACGGTCAGTTTATACTGGTTATGCATAGCTTGAAGTGCAGGCGTTTGTACACGAACTTGCTAACGTAAACGTATAGGGTAACGTTTAAAGTTGGCGCGTTTTAATGTATGCCCATATTACAGTGGTTTTGTTAATGCTTAGGTAATCGTGGATACTAATTATATTTTGTGTTTATAGTAAATGTATGGTTTTTGTGTTTTTTTTTTTAAGGGGGGAAAATCATCGAATGACTGCTCCCGCCTGGGTGAGGCGGAAGGGAGTGTCAGACTCTTACTGACTAAAAACCACCCCGTTCCTTCTCCTGCACGTCGAGCCGGAGCCCCGGTGACCCGGTAGGTTCTCCGCGACTCCGAATCGGCATCGGCCCTATTGGGCCCCATCTGTGGTGGTCTGATGGCTCTTTGAGGCGCGCGCGGAACGCGACACGCCGTACGCTCGGGTTTGTTTCTGGTCGGACGGGGAGCCACCCATGCTCGCCGTCCGCAGGCCCGCGCTTACGGTGGCCGGAGATCGTCCCGCGATCCCCGACGCCCGGTGTGTCCTTCGCGATGGCTGGGTTGCGAGGAGGCAGCGCTTCGCTGCCTCACGCGTGCCGCCTCCTCCTTAGCTAGCATGACTGCTTCGCAAATGGTTTTTGTGTTAATCTGTCAAACACCGAGCGGTCACCGGTGACCGCGACCTATTGTTCTTTAATTGTGTCTATAAAACCGGTACTCGACGAGTTAAGATTATGTCAAACTATTTTCTGCTAGCGGCTTCGTCCACAGTCGGTGTGTTATTGCAGACCATAACCTACCTCTGTTCCAAATCTCTGGAACACCAAGTGCGTTACCGGCCTTTTGGAGATTAAGAATTTAAGGATCGTTGGGGATTCAGGAATTGGGGAAGGGGAGGGCCTCCGGTAACCTCACTCATACGACAAAACACAACGCCAGCGTTGCTTTACGTCAGTTTTCTATGAGGCCGTGGTATCACTACGGTCGAGCCGGCCCATTTGTGCCGAAGCATGGTTCTCCCACACTTATAATCAAAATTAATAATGGACAAGATATTCATATCTACATTTTCATTGAAACTCTTCTATAAATTTACTTTTACTTGTCTATTCCTATTTCGTTTTCTTTATATTTTACGTACCTACGTATAAAACGCCTGAAGATACTAATTAACTTTTTTAGGACAGTCTTAAGAAACAAGATTTTTCGTCATTACGTGTTTAGCCCTAGGCTTTATTTGACTTGAACTAACTAGGAGTTCATAAGAAATATACCTAATGTCTAGATTTTTGTTACATGGAAATATAACGTAAAAACTACGTAACAAATTAACAGTAAAGGTTGTGCGGTAGATTCATTAACAATATTTTACATGTAAATATTTTTTGGGTTTCCATGAAAACTAAGGATCAAATGATACTAGGCGTATTTGTTGTTCATGTTAGCCAAAGAGGTCATGCTAGCCAAAGAGGAGGCGAAGCGCGTGAGAGAACAAACCTCTTCACGCCCCAGCTGTCGCGGGAGACACTCCGGGCGTCGGAGATTGCGTGACGATCTCCGGTCACCGTAGGTGCGGGTCTGCGGATGGTGAGCAAGAGTGGCTCGCCGCCCGACTAGAACCAGACCCGCGCGTACGACACGTTGTGTTCCGCGCGCGCCTCAAAGAGCCATTAGACCACCCCATATGACACCCAGTAGGGCTTACGGAGTCGCGGAAGACCTAACGGGTTGACGGGGCTCTGGTTCGAAAACCAGGAGTAGGAACGGAGTGGTTTTAAGTCAGAAGGAGCCGGACACTCACTCTCGCCTAACCCAAAGCGGAAGCAACCATTGGATGATTTTCCCCACTCAAAAAAAAAGTATGACCAAGTTTCTATAGTCTCACTTTTACTATAATAATAACATTAAACACATTAAAAAACTTTACAATAAGTAGAATATTATCTTAATACTTAAAAATGTAAAGTAAAACTTTAATAACTAGAATTATTTACTGAACCATTCACAAAGTAAAACAAAATAACTTAAAACTTACTCACTAGTCAAAGCAAAGGCAAACAAAACTTGTAATATCTTAGCAAGTTCGAAGTAACCCTGAAGGTTCTCCCTTTCATAACTTGAAGAGAACCCATTAATACTGAAACGGCTGAAAATATTTCACAAATATTGAAACTTGGTCTCGAAACTCTCAATTCGTGGTTTCATCAATAGGATCAAAGAAGCGCATTTCAGAATCTTATATTTCAGCCGCTGAATGCATTCCGAGGTCTGAAATATGTTTTCAGCTACAAGATTACCTTGTATTTTCTGTTTGCTGAAATTCTGTGAGAGGTACAGATTTCACTCTGAGTTATTTGTCTATTTGACCTCTCTTTTGAACTGACCTAAAACTGTGATTTCAAAATTGTCTAATAGTTACATTCGTGTTAAAAAGTAGGCAGAAGTGTGTCTACAACATATAATACGTAACATCACGTCTTTTATCCCCGAAGGTGTAGGTAAGAGGTGCACATTACGGCTATTAATGCCACTGTACAATGTAACACCCACTTTTCACTATACATATATGTTATGGGTCCCATGTAATAGAGGGTGAGCCTATGAGCCTAGCCATATACCGGGCATATTTCCAGATTCAGTGCTACTACTGAGATTTTTTTAAAACCCAGTCACACTTGCGACCACTCAGGTAATGAAGCAGTCACTCGGCCAATGAGGCAGTTTTTGTGTCTACAGTACACTAAATTGATAGTTATGCTAAATAATGTTGGAAGAACCATTTACCAATTACTACCATCACAAATATTAAGGTATCGTAGTCGAACCAAATAAAATGAAATAACTGAAATTAATACATATTAGACCTCAAACTAGTATTGTGAACCTGATTGAAAAAGAGTAACCTATGGAGTTTCTTGCTCGTTCTTCTCCATAGGAATCTACGCCTTGGAATGAGCAAATAGCTTCACTTTAAATTTTTGTTTATGTTGACGTTCAAAAGTGCCATTCTGGCCTAATTGAAATAAATGATTTTGACTTTGACTTTGACTTTGAAACCAAAATTGATTTTTGGGATTTTGTCAAAAATCGACCTTAATGCACAAATTTTAGATTGATATCGGTTCATTTCTGTGACTCTGTCGTAGTGGCCCGGAGGCTTACGACGCCCGATTCTTATGCACGAGGGGGCGGGTGCTAAACCCACCAACGGCAAAGTACCAATTTGACTTTTTCAGAGTTATATGTACTTTTTAAGATTTAGACGCCACTGACAAACGGTGAAGGAAAACATCGTGAGCACCTGGGCTTATTGTAATTGCTGATTATAAGTTTGAATGTGGTGCGTGTGATTAATGCTCAAACCTTCTCCCTGTGAGAAGAGGTCACTGCTGATGATGATTAACTTCGGCCCTCACTGAGATCGCAATCTAGAATGATCTTAAGAGCAACCCCCACATAGTCCCTATAAATTATACTATGGTATATGTATGTATAATCATTTAATTAACTGTATGTGGTTTCATCTACAATTGGTCCATCCCAATTATTCCCGCGAGAGTCGTAACCAAATTGAGAGATTGTGTCTAGAGAGAGAAGCAATCAACTTATAACATTAACTAATTATAGAGATTGCGTTTAATAATGTGATTGCCAATTAAAAATAAGGTATTACAAATCGTCTCTTTGTTCTAAATATTTATAAAATACATAAAAGCATGAGTAAAAGAAAAACTAATATCGTCATATACCTATATTAAAATAAAAAATCTAAGGATTTCCGTGAAATAACTAAAATTCAATAAAAAATGTCTCAATTAGTTTCAAGCTTGTTCGGAACCCACAAGCGCGTCGCGCAACTTCGAGCGACTAAGTCAAGACAAGCCCTTGATCATAATTTGCAAAGACACATAGGATATCTAATCACCAGCCACCGCACTAGCCGTAAAATGGTTTTTCTTTCTTTCTTTCTATAAAAATTATGAGTTCTCACCTGTAGAAGCCAGTAACACCTCCGATGGAATGTGGGTAAGATGGCAGAGTGGACATAGCACCCGTAGATACACTGTGAACAAAAATAGTTAATTATTAGAAAAAAAAATCAATAATTCAAAATATTAATTCAGTTCTTGTTTAGTATAAACAATAATATTTTAGTTTGTTAAATAACTTAATTGATAATTGATTAAGTTATGAAATCAAGAATTATGAAATGAAAACCACAAAACGAGATATCAATTCAGATGATCAAAATCATGGTAAACAGTCACTAATCCCAGTTAGTTATTATTACTAACACAAACCAAAACAATAGTAAGAGTCTCACAATAAGATTAAGAGGGCCCCTATCCTAATGATTACCAGCCTTAACAATCTTTACATTTGATTAACTTTTATGGCTACCACCAACACCTAATTTTCTCTGTTTTTCTTTCTTGGAGATCGGCCGGAAGAAAATTACTCCCATAATGATATCCATAATGTTCACGAAAATGTGTGTCTTGAACGCAAAGCACCCCATTATCAATAATAAAAGTCTGCATGTTTTTCTTTATAAAGTTTTTAAGGAAAATCCGGAACTGTTTTTCCATTTCAAAGCTTAGGGTAGAAGTTATATTGTTTATTATTCATTGATAATTTGATTTTATAAATTATGAGAATGAGTATGTTATGCACTAATTGTACATAATATATAATTATTGGCATTTTCGTAAAGATAACTGACGTAATAAGTCATTGAAATTAGTTCTTAGACATTATAATGTAGCAAAACCAATGTAGTAAAAAATAGATAAACTTAAAGTTAACACGTTCACTGCTAAAGTGACCACCCTTGATCAGCGTTAGGTGACCATTTGCCATCAACAGTTTTCTGTTGAAGTTTTAAGGTGCGTCCACAATTGATGAATGTGCAGCTTGCGAGGCATGTGCATTCAAAGTTATTATTTATGCGAACCTCGTATGAATTGAGCATCAAACCATTGTTGTGACTGTACGCGCATAGCTCGCAAACTGCTTGCGAACTGCTTGCGAGCGGTACATTCGAATGTGGACGCATCCTTAAGTTACTCATCTCTAACTAAAACTATATTACTTGGTTTTTAAATAGAAAATACAATCCTAATTGTCCGTAAAATAACAATATCAATACATAAACCCTACAAATTCACTTACAAAATATATTCTTCAGAAATCTTATAATAAATAAGGTTAGCTTCGTTTTCATATCTGAAAATTTCGTTAGTGATCTTTGAAAAAGCATTGCACGACGTAGTAAAACAAGCCTAACCAAGCTCGACCTAGAATTGGCACCTGAACTAACTTCGTTTACTAGAAAAGCCTCTCTGTGCACATCTGCGACCTAAATCATAAACTTAAGCGGGTAGGAAGAATTTTAATTGATTTGGAAAGAAAACTACAAATAAATTTCATTTCTGTAGCATGGATACAATCAAAAACACTCTTTAACTAAGCACGAATTTAAAATTTATTGTCGTTTAATTTTAATAGGTAAGTCGTTAATTTGACTTTGTGTTATTACTTTCAATTGTCTAAAAACTATTCATAATGTTTACTCTTTCTTAAAACATTATTCCACTGCTAATATTATAAGTACGCAGTGCCATTAACGTAAAAGTCTAGGAATTGTATAGTCGCTTCCGCTACCTCTTCTGCCGTAATGTCTAGATAGCCCCACTCAACGGTCACAGTTGTGCAAAATGTATTATTCAGCATTCCTTGCGCGCCGTACGTGGCGACTCGCGTGGCGTAGCGATCACTTGCCGTCGGTGTACTAACGCTTTGCTTGTTGCTACCATTTTTATTTACGGCAAATAAAAACGACTCCCTAGCCGGATTTCCAGAATATTCCAACTTATATTTACTGCTTATATGTGGAATTTTTAGCAACATTTATGATTTTCATGAACATAATTTAAATGTAATTCTGTCTCCTCCCGAAGGTTTCTTTGGAAAATAACTCTTGTGTACCAGTCTTTTTGCAAGTGCTTACTAGTTTAAAGAGCTCTATTAAGTAACTTAGTGGTCTCAAGTGACTTTAATGTCTTCCTTAAGATAAAATATAGGGTCTTCTTTGCGACAGTGGAGCGTTGGATTATGTAGCTTAGGAAGCGAATTACTACATTGGAATATCAAAATCACATTTATACTACATAATTATAATATAATGTCTAATAATCGTATACGGCTTCTTAAGATTTACTTCATTCAATCGAGAATTCAATAAACACACAAATAAAGCTGGACTAATTTAATGTTAATCACACTTTCTGTAAGTGTAAGTTTGGTCTGTAGTTATGCAATAAACTACTTTAATACAACAACTATACATGCAAATATTGGATGTTAGAAGTTTCAACAATGAAAGTATCATTGCCATCACCAATTCATCATCGGCTGCCGGCCTTGGTGGCCTCAATCAAATATCCGGGCCGCGGCCAGGCCTACAGAATAGACATTCAGATCTAAATCGGTGGCCATATTGGCGAATCGTATTTTTGCGAGACCATTCGAGCCAATAACCGGCTCTGTAGTGGGTTTTTCGGAGGGATATCCGGACTCGACGTGTTGTGGTACTAGGAATGAGCGGTAAGCGATTTCTATCAAAGATTTTATGATTGTTCTCCAGAAGGAAAAAGAGACAATTGTTGTATGAACTACGTATAAAGTAACCCTATTTTAAGCGTAACAAAACGAACGAAACAAATCCCACCGCCTATCACTAAAACTAAACAAATACATGACGTAATGAGATGTGACATCCTTACTACATTATTTATTTACCAAACTTTAAACACTTTGGCGTGCCTCTGCTTACCCCCATGGAAGACAGTGAGGCGTGAGGCTATGTATGTATGTTAAAAAATATCTTCATCAAACATTACAAAACTAATGCTCTTTTTGACTAGGAATAAAAGCATTGACGCCTCCACAACAGAACTCAATATCCAATAACACAATCGCTACCGCTCCTACCATGGACTGACACTTAATATCCGCACGAAGACTGCTCGTGAGTGAATTAGACTTTTACGACCGCCGCCGAATCCAAGCCATATCCAAGGTATAGATGGAAGTATTCCTAATCTAAATCTCCAGACAAACGTCGAGACATAAATATCTATTGTTTGAAGTTGTCAGATCGAATGTTTTATTGTATCGACCTTCTTCGACGGTATTTTATGACATTTTACCTGATGTTGAGAATTTTCTTGCTGACCTGTGTGGGAACGTGTTGATTCCTTCTTTGTTTTTTTTATATATATGTTTGTAGTCATAAAATTGTGTAAACATTATGGGAAAATAAAGTGAGTTTTTTGTGAGTAGGTTTTATAGATTTTTTAAATTTCGATTCGTGTTTTTTATAGTTTGAAAATATTATTTCATTTTTTCATTGGGCTCGTACGTTTTCATTAATGTCAATAATAAAAAATCTAGAAGTTACACTTTACTTGACATCAATTTATCCAAGTTTAAATAAGCCATACATTTTTACAACCATAATATATTTTCCAATCAATACTTCCGCGTATTTGTACCAAAATTTAATTTAACTTCAAACCGTAAACTCCAAACTTGAAATAAAATAAATCATGACAAATACCCTCCTTAAAATTTTACTGGCGAAAACTAGATGGATCTAGAACCGTCTGGTTTGAACCGGGAAAATCCAGTTTCGGACCAATCGACGGGTATCGGTGCCGTTCAGTTTATCCAAGTGCATTTTCGGATGAATGCATTCGTAGATTGGACGAATTAAAAAGTTCAACATATTCATGTGACGTCGTCCGTCAAATGGGATTACTATAAAGCTGCTTTTAGAACTAATGAGAGGTTTTTTGTTCAGAACAATTTGAGAAGTAAAGTCTGCAGCCTCGTTTCGTTATATTACGAGTAACTACGTATGCTTAGAACTAGTGCATTTGGTGCATTTTGCTCGTATACACCGGCCGTATTATGAATTATTTTGTTTATGAGTGTAATTTGCGCTTGAGTACATACACTTTCGGTGTAGCAGCGCATCCTGTGAAATTATGGATGTGAGAGAATATGGCTCAAGTAAATCTTTATGGCCAGGTTTAAATATCGGCTAGTCAACTCGGTGCTACGTATTCTTCAAGAAGATGATCTCTGACAGTAAATGTAATAGATTTAACTGCACGGCTAGTAACTATTTTGGTATTTAGTAGGAATTTGTTCAGTTTTCCAATTAAAAATGCTTGTAAAAACGAGACATCATAAGATTTTTCTTTATTGTTTTTTTATAAACCACAAAATATAATATTTGTTTTTTTGTTTGTTTTTTTTTTAAACTTTGCCCCACACTAGGATTTTCTCCTGTGTCGTGGGTGCGTTTACAAACATACAATATCACATACACATGACACCCAGACCCGGAACAACAATCTGTGGATCACACAAAGAGTTGTTCCGTGCGGGAATCGAACCCGCGACACGTTGCGCGGCAGCCGGTTGCCCAGCCACCGCACTAACCGTGCAGTCAGTTGTTATTTGTTCAGTTTTCCAATTGAAAATGCTTGTAAAAACGAGACATCATAAGATTTCTTTATTGTTTTTTTTATAAACCACAAAATATAATAGTTAGGTTTGTTTTAAATTGTACACCAAAATGCTGAGGAAGCGAGACCATTCGTGTTTGTAAGGTGGGCTGGCCTCACGCCAGTCAGTAGGTACACGTATTTGTACCCCCAAAACAAATGCTACTCGGACACTAAAGCGATTGATTCGTTTTTTATGTTGAACAACGATTTTATGACCTCGTAAAGCTGAATTGAAAGGGTTTATTGAAAATGAGAGGTGTTTAGGTGAATGCGTTTAGTGTTCTTGCGTTATCATGATTTTTTAGATAGCAGTTATATTCCCGATACTGCCAGATTCAAGGCATCAAAAACGCCTTTTACAAACCATAGCTAATTTCAATAACAACTTCCTACACGATGCGCCTTTTCAAAAAATCCTAAGCAGAATGGTACTGTTTAATTTGAATCCAAAAAAATAAACCGCATTCGCTTCTTTCTTTGTCTC